TAAGCTCCAAAATAAAACCCACACAGAGCCGGCTGCTCCTCGGCGTCTAAATCCAAACTTTGCTTTTATTACACTGCATCCAAACGGCTGCTGCGGCCCGGTTACACTTTCATTGTTTGGTATTGTTTGTTTGATGCTTTTTAACGGCTGGGTGGTTCCTCACATCAGAGCTGCTTTACTGGACCGAGGCGTGAAAGATGGAAGACGTTAGTAAAGAGCAAAAAAATCTGGAAAAGTGCTCAGACACAAAAATATAAAACACAAAGAAGAAAGGGGAAAAGGAGCGAGACGGAGAAGAAAGAGAAAACAATGATGGATGATGGGAGAGAAATGACCCTGGACGTCCAGACGCTTCTGTCTGTGGCTGTGATTCGTCTCTGTTGTGGTTCAAATGTCCGTTGGCCAACCGGCTTTCACAAGCACAGCTTCTTCTAGCAGCAGACACATTTCCTTTATTGTTTAGCTTCCCGTTTATAACCTCAACCGCACAACAAACAGCATCAGAAACAAGCCCAGAAAAAATGGACAGTTTAAAATCATTCAGACGGATGAGACGTTCGTAATTTAATTGATACTTTCTGGCTCTACTTTACTGGTTTTATTCTACGCAGCAGGCCATCTTTATTTTGAAAAACAAAAAAACAAATGGATCCTACATTTACCCACAGTGCAACTCTTTCTTAATTGCAGAAATCTTTCAAACTCAATGGCCCTAAAAAGCTTTCTGTTAAAGGTTTGTAGTCCTTGTAGCTCATCCAGAGGCTCAGATTATACACCAAACAGCTGTTTTCAGGTTGAGTAGAACTAACCATGACTAGTTAACTGATTTTGATAGCTAGTTAATGGTTGGGGATGACAACACGACTAAACCTCCTGAAGGACATTTCAATTCTATTTCTATGACTGAGTCAGCTGTGTATGAACATTTCCCATCGCTGGTATCCACATGATGATTGTGCAACGCACTAAACTTGGGTTTGACCAATCAGAGATGTTTATTTTCCCCCAACAATTATTCCAAAAATTCAAAATATCTTAAACTGCTTGTGGCCCCTGGACCCAGAGACGTAACGTCGGTCTGCTGGACAAAGGAGGTAAAGTTCCTGAGATCCAGAAAAAAAAAAGCTCAGTTCAAGACTTCCAGGAAAAGATCGTGTGGGTGGATAAGGGGGTTACTGAAATAGGAAAGAAAACAACAAAGAGAGGCTGGTAATTTTGTGAGAGTTGATAGATGGAGGGATGGAGTGGTGGGAAAGAGGAGAAAGGAAGCAAAAGGTGAAAGTCAAAGGAGCTGATGAAAGAAGATAATGGAGAGAATAAGGAGGAGTTAGCGGAAGAGGAAATGGAGATTTGAACTGAGTTAAATAAAGAAACAGAGAGAGAGAGAGAGAGAAAAAGAAACTGATAACGAGTGAGTGATGGAGAGAGAAGGTAGGGAAGGTGAGAAGGTTTGAGGTTTCATGACAGATGGGAATAAGTCGACCTGAGGAGGGAGAGTTTGAAGAAGGGATGTAGAGAGGAGGAGATAAAAAAAACAGACAGAGGCTGAACGAGTGAAATGAAAACATTTGAGTGACGGACAAACAGAGAAATTGAGAAAGAAGAGTGTCTTTGCGGTTGTGAAACTCTATCTGCGGCGCTGCTAAATGTACACAGAGTGGAAGCTGCTGCCAAATGAAACAGCAGCAGCTCAATCTGCAGGAGGGAGGGAGAGAGAGACAGAGAGAGAGAGAGACAGAGAGAGAGAGAGAGAGAGAGAGAGCTTTGTCTCCAGAGCCCAAGAGAAAAGACGAGAATAAAACAAAAACAATCACTTCAAACGCCGTCACACCGAGTCCTGTTCAGCGACATGACAAGTGTTAGCTTGGTTTCTACACTTTGTCCGCAACCGTCCGGGGGGAAACGGAGAAATGTGATGTTGTAATGTCGTGCTGCGTTTGAGAGATGATGGAGAGTTGGAAATTCAGACTTTTTTTTTTTTTTAGCTACTGGGAGAAAAAGGTCCTTTAAGTTCGAGTTCAAAGAGGGAAACTCAACAAGGCTTTTATGCAACGTAAAGCTCGGGAAGTGATGCACCTGCGCCGCCATCTTTCCTCTCATCACCAGCAACCATGGATTACTAGAAACCACAAAACACCTTAAGTTTCCTACTTAAGAATGCCACTTTAGGGAGTTTCTTAATGGCGTTGCACAGAATCTCTTCAAAGGTTTCCTTAGTTAAGGAGAAAAATTGAGGCGAATGAGCAGTGACAGAGATTTTAGTGATTAAATTCTACTGCGTCGTTGAGGGTGTCTCCTGGTCGCGGCACACTCTTCCTCGTATGCGTTCGTTTTCTTCATTTATCCCCATAAACGCACCATGTTGCAGTTCAGATGTGAGAGTCAGACGTACCTTTATCTTTTGTCGCTAAGGTTTTATGTGCAACGGTTTAACTGACTTTAAGTGATTCCTCAATTATAAGACTAAGATAAGGATGAAAACCTTAAAAACTTAAAGATTAAACTTAAGGAAGTTTTGTGCAATTTAAGGAAACGTTAACTCAGACTCTGAGAAACTGGCTCCAGGTGACGTCGCTATAAAGAAGTCAGATGGGTTTAGAAACATGATGACCAGACAGGTGTAAACACGCCAACAGTTCATCCGGATTATCTAAAGGTAAAACTGAGAGTGAACACACCTGAGATGGATGTTTACAAAGGACAGATGTGGTAATAACTTACTGTTTGGCTTTGTAAGTTAATTTGGGGCTAAACTTGTTTGTTTTCATCCCGTCCCATCGACTGACTTCTCACCAACAAACCCGGTGAGTGCCACGTTATTATTTTCAATAAGAATGGGCTGAACTGTGAATTTCTGACCTCTGGCGATGGAGGGAACTCAGTGTCTGTCACAGTTATGATTTACTTACAGCTTCAGCGTCGGTGCAGGAGGAAGTCGACGCGGCGCAGAGCTCTGAGGGGAATATTAACTGTGGAGTATCTTTCGGTCTGGAGGGAGCAAGAGGAGTAAAAAAGCAGCAGGTTATTTGTCCTGTAGCTGTTTGAATAATAATCACACCAGAGAATGAAGCAGGTGAACGTGACGTTACCTCGACCTCATCATTACCATCCTGTGAAGCAGAACAACAACAAACAAGGAAACAACGGAATGAAAACAGAGCACTGACTGAAGGCTTTGATTACCTCAGTAGATTAACTTTTATTACTAAATATTTCATAAATAACGTTTATTTCATTCTCAGACTCCTCGGTTGGGGGTTGGGGGGTCTTCTTCAGGCTGCACACTAACGACACAGTTCATTGAAGTGCAGAGGGAGTTGTGGCTATAAAAGCAGACTCCCAACAGGAGCCTGGTACATCTGAACGGCTAACACAACAGTACAAAACCTACTCTGTATTACAAACATTCAAGGTGTTGCGACACAGCACACAGGAAGTGCCTCGTGTCCAGCGGGAACCTCTGTAAAGGACGAACCGATGCTCGTTCGAGCTCAGCGGTTTTCACCTGTGCTAAATTAATTAAAATCTAAAAACACTGAAAAAATAAAAGGGACACAGCCGAACTGGATCAGGGTTAAAGGTCAACAGAAGCCGTGACCTGCGCCTGATGAAAAGCTTCCCGGTGGACAGAAGCGTCGAAGCTGAACACACGGACATGGAGCAGACGTGTTGCTGCTGGGATTGTTTTGGTTGAGCTGCCACAGCGTCTATGGCTGAAGTCTTAAAGTCTGGCAGAAACAAAGCTCAAAGCTCCTAAACTGGTGTGTGTGTGTGTGTGTGTGTGTGTGTGTGTGTCCAATGTCTTACATTTTAGTGAGTTGTAAGTTTGTAAATCAGTATCTCCAATATCAACAGGATTCGGTTTGTAAAACCTCGGATCCACATTTGTTTTCCTTGTTGATCAGTGGTGAAGAAAAACTTCTCTCACAGCTTTCCTCTGTCATCTTCTCTATTCTCCTGTTTCATTTTAAACTTCACTAATAAAGTCTTTTTCACCCTCTGTGTATAAACTAAGATGTAACGGTTGGTTCACCCCAGGGAAAGTTTAGTTTCATTTGTCCAGGTTTCTGTCTCAGACGGTTTGAACTTGCATCAATTTGTCTTTCCAAAAGCTGTGTCCCTCTAAACTAGATGATCCACAGAACAAACAGTTTTCATTGGAACTACTTTCTACAGAGGAAACAGTCGCTGACAAATCCGTTTACAGGGTGGACACGTTGCTTGTTGAACTTTTTATAAATGTAATTTTTGAAAGCTCTGAGCACCACAGACAAAATCTGAAACAGAAATCTCAAATCTAGGGCTGCGTCTCACAGATAATAGTTCTGACACGATATCCTATACTTCCTTCGAAACCTTACTGTGAAGAATACAAATCTAAAGCTATCAATTTGCATTTTTTTAATGCTTGATATTTGACGCTGCACGTGCACATCGACCTGTTTGCATGAGCCACCAAAAGCAGGAAAAAAAAAAGTTTTCTTTGTTGTGACGTGAGTGAAAGAAATCGTTGAGAAACCTTGTGCGTTTTTCGTGTGTGTTGCTGCTGAGACTCTGTTCTTCCTCTGGCACTAGTCACGGTCGTCTTACAGTAACATATCGTATCAAACCGTATCGTACGGAGCTGGTTCAATACGCTGCTAAATAAATACGTGCGTAACATCGAGCCTCTTCTTCATAGTGTTCCTGAAGATGGGCAGAAAAGGCCTCGGGTGTTAGACGGCCCTGCAGGCTCTTCTCCTCCTGATTGCCACCCTGCTTTTTTTTTTTTCCAGAAACGCCCTGTTGGTTTCCACCGTACACAAACAGTCTCAGGTTCGACCCCGCTGCACCACGTTTGTGTCCATCAGCAGCTGTGTGTCCTTGAACGTCCCACATTTAAACAACAGATCTGGCTGGAGGAGGTCAGAGGGGATGGTGGTGGCGGAGGTGGCTGGAGGATGTGGCCTTGATTTACCCGGAAGCAGCCGGGCGGCTGGACGCGGCGGGCGGGTTTATTCTTAGCGGCGAGGCGGGGGAGGCTCTGGCGAGGCCCGGTGCCACGCGAGGGGGGTGAGAGGGCGGGGTCTGACATCACATCCAGAGGAGAGTGTGGGCGGGGGGGTGGTTTGGGGCCTGACTGGGATTAGGGAGGTGCAGGGCTGTGGGTTCAACTGCCGCTTAGGCCAGACGACAAAGACGAGGAGGAAGGAGGAGGAGGAGGAGGAGGAAGGAGGAAGCAGAGAGTCAGCGAAATGTCTGAGGAGGAGGAGGAGGAGGATTTAGCCTTCGTCCTCGCTCTCCCTGGGCTCAGACCTCACCACAGTCCCTCAGTGCACACACACCAAAACTACTGGATGTGGTGTGGTGGTTCAGCAGCAGCAGTGTGTGTGTGTGTGTGTGTGAGGGTCAGCTATTACTAGGCGATGTAAATATGCGTCCGGGAGGAAATGACTTGGCTGCTGAGATATGTGGCGTTGACTGAGTGTATTTACATGTAAATATATGTTTAGACTGCATATGTGAACATGTGTGTTGTGGTCTTGTATATGTTTACATGTACACTGTATATACACACATATGTATATTTATATGTGTGAGCCCCTGTATGTATATATGTATGAAGTCTGGACATGTATCTTGTGTTGTGTTTATGCGTGTGTGTGTGTGTGTGTGTGTGTGTGTGTGTGTGTGTGTGTATCATTGGAGCTTATTGCACTGATTCCTTCAGCCCTCTCCGGCCTCTGGCTCCTTCTTCTTCTCTTTGACCTTTACTGAAGATTTCTTGGACACTTTCTTGTCCCCCAGTTCCTTGCTGGACTCCTTCCCTTCCTTTTCTTTGTCCTTCTTCTCCTTCGATGACTCCTTCTTCTCCTTGGAGGAGGAGGACTCCTTCTTGGACTCTTTCTTCGTCTCCTCCTTGGGCTCTTTGGCCTCTTTGCTCGAATCCTTCTTTGACTCCTTCTTCTCCTTGGACGACTCCTTCTTTTCCTTTTTCGCCACCTTGACCGGCTCCTCTGCGTCTCCTGCCTCCTCCTTCACGGCGGCCTCTGACGACTCCCGTGACACCTCTTTCTTCTCTTTGTCTGAATGTGGAAAGAGAGAGGACGGCCATTAGTACACACATCACACAGTACGTCATTCATACGGCAGCTGAGACTCGACTTTCGACTTAAGTATTGATAACGTCCGATAAACGTCAGACTCACGCTGGTACTCAACACATGACATAAACCTGTCCAGGTGGAATAAAAGGGGATGTTGTTGTGTCTCCTCTAATTTCCTTTGTGGTTCTTTGTTTTTAAATTCATTGTGAGTTTTGTCAGTGTGGCCGATCATGTCAGTGCTGCTGTCATTAACCTGTAATTAAGCAGATTAATGAATGAATCGGTGAATACATGAGTATTTATGAGACTATTTCACAGTCGCTCTGTTGTCTGACTTCGTGCGGACGTAGCCGCGGTCTGGTTGGAGGGTCGTGGTCAAGACGTTGACAAGCAGCGGGTTAACTTAAACACAGTCTGTCTTCAGATGCGTTATCACGTGTCTCTTCATCACGAGTGAGAGTGAGGACTAAGTGACGTTTGCACAGTCAGCTGTTTTGTCCTTTAATGGACCGATGCAAACACAGATCAGCTCTCAAAGGTCTCAAGCATCCAGACAAATTGAGCGACAACAGCACCTGTTGCATGACAAAGAACCCCCACTTAACCAAAGTACCCCCCC